GATTGAAACAATCGAGTCATTGCAAAGAAGGCTTCTGTGGCTTCCGTAGTTCCAAAGTGTTCACCCTAAGTAAAATTTAAAACAATTTCTTAAACTTTAAAAAAAGTATATTAAAGATTTTCTCTTTATTTCTGCAAAAATCTTTTAGAGCTCAGGAAAAAATCTCTGTAAACATTCTGCCTCTTTGCTATTTTTCTGGCTTTCAATTTATAAACCTGCATAACCATTTATCCACTTCTTATTTAAAACAATTCAGTATCACACACCATGTTATAAAAGTTCTAGAATAATGGTCTCTAACCTTTTAGCAAGAACTATTTTAATTTCCCAGAAGAATTATGATTTATAAGGAGGCAGAAAATGATAGCAACTTGAGCTCCTAATCAGAAAAGGATGCTATTGTTACACTACTGACGAGCAGAGATCATACCTTATACATTTCTGTAATCCAAGGCTCAGCACAAAGCCTGACATAAAGGAGCACAAAGGAGCATAATATATATTAAACCGTAAAGAACTATCTATTAGGAATCCCAGAAAACATGGCTAAAAAGGACCAACCAAAAGAGAAGGAACCAGATTAATCATATAAAAATAAGGCTTAAAGGGCTAACAGATCTCAAGATACTGGCTCAAGCCCCTAAAAACATGCTTTGGATCAGAACTTTAATGTGCTTAATAAATCACCCGAGGATCTTGCCAAAATGCAGATTCTGATTCAGTGGTTCTGGGGTGAAGCCTGAAATTTTGCATTTCTAACTAGCTCCCAGTGATGTGAATGCTGCTGATCTGGGAACCACATTTTTTTGGGGTAGCAAGGTGTTAGATAACCTATTTCACTAATAGTCAAAACACTGTAGACCACAGACCACCTGAAACATTACTGTCTCAATATTTAATTTCTTCATTAAAAGCAATCCTATATAATATGTTAGGCTTAATTACTTTTCAGGGCTTCAGATTTTCACAGAGAATATAACTAATCTTCAATCTATTTGTCATAGGTATAAGAATAAACAAATTTTGATGAAAAACTTTGAAAGTTTAGGATGAAAGACAAAGTATAATAAGAGTTTGCAATTACTTAGAATACTCAACCTGCTCATCAGCAAGAGATTTCCTTCTCTTTCTTTCATAAATATTTAGTGAACACATAGAGATCCCTGTACTTTTCAGTCATATTAGTAAGTCCTAAGGCCCTACTTTTTGACTTGAAACTCAGAGAATATATGGATATGTCAACTCATAGAAATTTAAAAGTATTTTTCCATAAAGCACTATCAAGAACCAGGCAAAAGATAAAACTAAAGTTCACAAACCTGTTTATGCATCAGACCATGCTTGGTAATTTCCCTATCAAGATAATTAAATGTTCCAACATAAGTTGTCTATCAAAGAGGTATTGGCCAATATAAAAGTATATGCTACTCTGAACCAACTTCAACTACACAAAACTCTGTTTATATAATGGATTTTGCCAACTTGGACACAAATGTGTGCTCTGAAAAGTTAAATTAAACTGACTTCCTTAAATGATTCTAATATGCTACAGAGAGGGATATGATGTTTGCGACTACATATATATTATTTAAATGTATGTACTTGTTGCTCAATCTCCATTTGCAAACTACAAAACTTTATTACGTCTCTGGATGAGGTCTTCAGTCATGAAACATAGTAAAGATAAAACATTCCCATGGAATTCAAATTGGAAACCATAGTCTTCTTAGCACCACATGTAAATCACCTGAAGTATATATGGATGTGTGTCTTCATGTGTGCTTGTGTGTTTGTGTGTATGTGTGTGGGTGTGTGTATATGTGTGTGTGTGTGTGCATATATATATATAAATATATATATATATGAATCTAAGAAACTAAATCAAATTTTCTAAGGCCCTAGACATTTCATGAGATTTTTTTAGTCTGAAGCAAACAAGAAAAAATAAAATTAATAACAATAACAGCAAACAGAATCTACATTCCATTAGGGCAAATATTTTTGCTGGTTTTGTCTGCTATACGCCCAGTGCCTAAAACAGTGCACAGGACACAGCTGGTGTGTAATAACTATTTGCTGAATGACTGAATGAAGACTATTACCAAATGCTTACTATGTGTCCAGGGCTATGCTCAATGCTTTATGTTTATTACCTTATTTAATCATTATATCTTTGTAAAACAAGTATTATCATATTCCCCATTTACAGAAAAGGACATTAAGGTACAAAACGGTTAAGCCCAGAATCATATTGCTTGTAATGGTGGACTAGGGATAATAAATATATTATAATAAATATATAATAATAAATATATCATCCCTAAATATTAAAATCAAAGCTTTAAAACATCACTATTATTACCCCCTATACAAAAAAAGGGTAAAATATCTATCTGGAATTTGTCTAAGATTTTGTACTATATTTCTGGAGAGACATAAAGACCTCTGAACAAATCTAAACATGTTTTAACATTAACTTGTCAAATATGTGTTAATACTTGTTAAATTCACATCAATGCTGAGAATCTACAGTGTGCTTAACTGGTTCAGTACCTCATGAATAAAAAAGAAGTATATGTCAAAATCTTTGTCCTCAAGAAGTTTTACATATTACTACCTTAATCAAACATTGTAGATTTTAAGATTAAGTGAATTTTTTAAAAACAAATTATTATACTTTCCAGAAAGTATTTCACTGCATGTTATATTCTATTCCAGGACATAAATTTGAGGAAAATCAAAATAGTTTACCTGGTTCAGTAAGTAAAGAATCTTTGTAAGAATATGCAAACATCTTCTTGGATTGATGGGCGTTTCATTGAATATACGAGCCTATGGAAACAAAAAACACTCATATACATAGCATATTTTCTATCTTTTCTACCACAGATTACAGAAAATAAACTTTAATAAAGACTATTCTATATTTTAATCACAATATCCAAATAATGTTAGTTTCTTACAGTTTTCAATTTATTACGGTATATGATAACTTATTAGATGTGGCCTTGACTTTCCATTCTACAGTCTGACTCATTCCCTGAGGTCTACTGCTTCAACTCTGTGGGCTTTATCTGTTAAGTAAGAATCACAACATTTATCTACATCATTTGAACACAGTGAACTTAATATCTATAACTTCCTTCTATAACCTTGCACTAAACACCTCTTCTAGCATTTTGTTTAGAATTCCCAACATGAGGCCGAGTCTGTGTTTTTGCATTTGTATAAACTCTAGACTCTTCTGTGACAAGTAACCCCTCTTCTTTTTCCCTCAAGTCTATATTCTCTGAACTCAGTTACATTCTTTAATTCTTATTTTGGATCATAGCATTTCAGGGGCTCTCTGCCCAGCATTCTAGAATGGAATGAAAAGAAAGACGACAATATACTTCCAAGCCATACCTCCTGTAAGACAGCACTCTTCTCCAGATGCCGAAAAGGGTTGGAGCCACTACCTATATTATAAAACAAAAAATGTCTTTAACAGCTGTCCTACACAAACTTATTTTCTACAGAAGGGTATTGAATGCTTGGGATATCTCACCTAAGTGAGGTGACCACTTGGATATCACAGTGATAATCATTACTAATATGCATATAAATTGAATAAAATCATTTTGATTCTGGTACTAGCTCTGCCATTGCTATCCTGTAAGATCTTGTATTTCTCTTTTGCAGGAGCCCTGCGGGAAATGAGTGCCTTCTTTCCTTGCTTTCTTTTTAAATGAATGTTACAAATATCTGTCATGTCCACACAACTAACATTAATGAGACTGCGGTAGGGTCCTTCGGATTTCACTAAATGCAGGCACTATTTTATGTGTTTCTAACATTTACTGTGAGGCAGAAAAGAAGCGTTTAGCAGAGAATCATATAAACTTAAAGCTGAAAGGGGCCATGGAGGTTTACTAACCCAACCCTCTACCACACTTTGTGAGGGCAGCTATCAAACACTGAGATTTCTTTTTTTTTTTTTTTAAGGTAGCTTGGCATTTTCACCATTTGCTCTGGACCAAAAACGGGTATTCAGTCGCAACTCACTTTTGGATGCCTGAGCATTAAATGATCTCTGTACCATGGGACAGTTTTGCCCCCAGCAAGCGGACAGACCAAGGGCCCCAGAAAGACCTGGAGTACCTGTAAGGTACCTCCAAGTTCATCTACACACACACGCTGCCCTGTCGATCTCAGACCCACTCCGTGCCTAACACAACCAGCATCCCCCGCCTCTCACACGCGCACACCCACTCCCTCCGCCACCTGCCAAGGGCCCGCCCCCTCTGCCGGCAGCCCACCCCCTGTGAGCGGGGCGGAGGCGGCTCCGAGGGGCTGCGCCAGAGTTGGGCGGGGGGACGACACGCGGATCCCCAGCAGCCCGAGCGGGGCGCGGGCGCCGGGGCGCGAGCGCGCGACCCGAGGGGAGGCTCGGGCGCCCGGGGGAGGGGCTAGAGGCAGGCCCCGGGCTGGAGCGGAGCGGGGCGGAGGGAGGGGCCGGGCTCCAACTCCGGCCCCCTGGCACACCGGCGCCCACGCCCCCAGGTCCGCAGTCCCCGAGAGCAGGTGGCGGCCGGCGGGGGAAAGGTCGCCCGCGGCTGAGGGTGGGCGTCAGACGCCCAGCGCGTACCAGACTCCTCGTCCTTCTTGTCGAATTTTTTAATCATCTTGGAAGACTTCCCAGCGCCCAGAACCACCGCAACCGTCCCAGGCGCCGCAGCCGGTGAGCGGAAGAGGCTGCAGGAAGGCCGGCCTCGAGCTCTGGCGCCGGTTGGGCCGGCGTCCCGTCACTCGGGGAGAAGGCCCGCCCTCCCGGCTGTGGCGGCCGCCCTCGCCCCCGAGGGACGGGGCCACGCCCTCTCCTCCTCCCCCTGCCGGGCGGAGGCGGGACCAGGCGCTGGGACCCCGGGGCGCATCCCGGACCCTGCGGCGACAAGTAGGAGCTGGGGGCTCGCCCCGGCCCACCCTGCCAGCGACCAGGCAGCCCACGCCCGAATCGGGCAGAATGCGATTTTATTTGGTTGGCACGCCCTGGATGGCAAGTTCTGCAGGCCCCTCAGTCTCTGGAGACCGAGGCGAAAGGCCTGAGGGGTTTGGTTTTCACTTAACGACAGTGGCATTTTTTATAATCCACTGCTCGGCCCTTCCATTGCGGAAGGCGTTGTCCCCTGGCACAGTTCTGGTGGGCTTCTCTTCCAGGAGCGATGAAAGGGTTAGTGGTTCCCAAGTCATTTTGGAAGTTGGCATGTCACCCTTTGACTTCTTGGAGACTGCAACAAAGCACAGGGCACTTTGGTGAATGTGGATTTCCACAGGGTCTAGAAGGACACTTCATGTGAGGCGTGAAAGAGACCCACTTGGAGGAAGAAAGCTAGTCTTTACTCTTAGCATGAGGGTAGATTTTCGGACCACGGACTACCATTACTAACCTTCTTTATAATTCTGGATTCCTTCCCTTCATCAAAACCCAGTTTAAATCACTGACAGTTTCTAGTCTTCCCTGTTTAATCCCACCCCTTTCAAATGATTCCATCTGCAACCACGTTGACTTATATAACTCCTACTAAGTCAAAGTGCATTCGCTCATATTCCTCTTAGCCTTTTCCTAAAATGTACGTTGGTTGTCAGTTCTCCTGTCTGAGAAATTGTTTCTGCCTTTGGCTTTAGTGTCATCACTTTATCCAGATTCTCTTTCAACCTCTGCCTGTTCTTGGAAGCTTCTATTGTGGGTTCTTTCTGCTCCCATCCCTCCTCACTTTTTTGATGCATTATGCCTTGTAAATGTTCCTTGAATCTGTTTCTTTATTCTTACTGCTATCACCTTAATTCAGGTCCTATCATCTAACCAGCCTTCACAGCCCATATCCAAACCATCTTCTATGTGCAGTAATCTTTCTTTCTGTGGTTGCCTGGTAAACATATAACATTAGTGGTGGAAGGAGGGGTTGCTAGCAGTCTCTTTTACTTGAAGTGGAGACGTTGTTTCAACTTCACAGCAGATTGTCTTTGTTTAGCAAAAGCTCCATAATGGGCCCTTCAGAAGCATAAGTAAGTATCATTCTTATTTCTTGAGGGAAACTGTAAAGTCACCATAAATCTAATAAATGCTGCAGACTGAGATATTAAATGTTCTGTTTAGAAATGTAAATTGGGTTATCCTTAACAGGATCACAACCTTGAGAAATTAGAGAAATTTTAATCTAGATTAGATTCTAGATTCTGGAGAAATTCTTTCCCCTGATCTGAATTTAAGCGGAACTGCTAGTATCCTACATATGGTATCATTTAACATTTAACTCTGACTTTACTAAATGTGCCGTTAACTATTATGCTTGCCTTATCTAGCTTATAAAGCTCAAACCTTGTTTTCCAGGTGGAGTTTCCCTTGAAGGAAATAGATGTTCCTACTTATTTATTCTGGGGCTGAAAATAAATAGGCTTTGGGAAGGAGCGATCTTCTTCCCCGTCCTTGGGCCAAGGGTATTGGGAGCCTAGGCAGAGACAGTGTAGATAAGCCAGGAGACTCCCAAGAATGGGTCATGTGCTGAGAGCCTGCTGGGAAGTATAAAGGAACTGAGACCAGTTTGAGGCTGAGCCTAAGAGTAGCCCCTTTTAAAGCAAGGTAAATGACTCTCTGCTGTTTTTTAACTTCTCTCCACATCTGTGATGTTCTATCTATCTATCTGTCTCCACATCTATCTATGTTCAATATCACAGCTTGGTTTTAGCTGTACGTGGGTAGTTAAGAGAGGCAGCAGGTGGGCGTGGGGCGGGTGGCAAATAGGTGCAGGAGAAACAGAGAAGCCTGAAGTAGCTAGTTCGGGAACGGTACAATATGACCTCACACCTCTGGAACCGTGACTGTTTGGACTGAGGATGGCTGGCAAAGGTGTTAAGCAATCACTAAGATGGCCTTGTAGAAGTGGTAAGCATAGCTTAGGGAGTCTCAGAAATTGCTTGAGAGGAGAAACCCCATAGGAGAAATGAACTCTATCTTGAAGCCATAAGTTGGTGACATCTGGGGACCCATCAATTATTACTTCTAATACACAAATGTCTATTGAGTGCTCTGAAATCCTTCAGTGGGTCCCAACTGCCTACTGGATAAAACCCAAGTCCTTATATATATAATATACAAGGCCCTTCATGGTCTGGTCCATTTATCTACCTCACTTATTGAAAGTGCTGTTATGGGTGCTTGATAAGTATCCAACACTAACTAGGTTCCCCATAAATGTTGTTAAATGAATGATAATTTGTGAGGAGCATTCTCATTGTACCATCTTCCATTCATCCTTTTCTCAAACCCCTTCCACCCCATATCCTGCCTCAACCCCAGAGAGACTCATGGACCTCACAGACTTATCCTTTGAGGAAGGATGAGATTCACAGTGTGATATGCGTACTATTGGGTAGTTTGGGTGACACATAAACATTTAAAATTTAATTATTATGAATGTCATTAAATGTATGTCAGACAAAAGAAGTGTAATTAGTATATCAAACCCATGATGTCAGTGATACAGTATCAATTAGGACAAGAACAAAAAAAAGTCCTTTTAAAGAAAAACATTAAGAAAAAAATAGGACAAATAACACATGGATATGACCAAAACTATTAAAGTGGTAGATGATGCAGTTCTGGAAACACTATGCTAGAGCTTTCCTGAAATTTGAGGGTTTAAACAGGGTCCAAAGCCCAGCACCACTTGGGTCTCTATCAGTTCTTAGCTTCCATGCTACAAGGAAAAATAGTCTCCAGAACCACCATGAGAGATGTCGATTTGCCCTTATTTCTAGTCCCCTTACATTGTCCCTCCCGCCCACCTCTCAGTCCCATAAGCCATTGCTTTGAAGAAGAAGAGCTTACCATCTTTCGTCATATCTCTTTTACTGACTGGAGCAAAGTTGAGCTGAGGGTACATTTTTTTCTGTTTCCTCAAAGCGTAGACCTTCGAATATTTCCCTTCACTCTTGAAATCGTTGTTGGTGGAAAACCTTAAAGAAAGATCATTTAGTAGATCCTAGGGCAAGGGGTTGGTGGAATCAGTCACTACATTCTCAGATTCTGGGGGAGAACAAAGGACAATGACTAGAGGGTGTTCATTGGTACAGAGTGGGAGTTTTGTTCAGTGGAAGGGATGCTTCTAGAACCTAACATTGTAAACCTGTGAAGGAACCCCAGAATCTCCTCTCTCTTCTCCAAACTAGACATAGGCTGCTCCTGTAACTAGTTTCAAATAAAGTCTCATAGCACATTATTCCTATGCTACAGCACTTGATATTCACTGAGGGAAAATTTTTCTTCTGTTTCCTCAAAGCATAGACCTTCGAATACTTCTCTTCACTCTTGAAAATCATTCTCAGTGAAAAACCTTAGTTTTGCATTACGGTTTCTTTGTCATTAGGGTGTAAATGAGATTGCGAGCCATGTAGGGAAGCTGTCTTATTGTTATACAGTTGTACATATTCCCTACAACCAAAAAGCGTTTATTAAGTTGAATTGAAAAGAGATAATAATGTGAATAAGGAAAAGATAGGCAAGAAAATGAGTACAAGAAGAGCCAGGACTTCACCTAAACCATTGTTCTCGCTTCGATGTAGGATCCTCCAACAGTATCACAGGGAAGATTGGTTTCAGCTCAGATCTTAACTTTTTTTTCTGAGACATCAGGGGCAGGCAGAAGTTCTCAGTCGGTCTGTGATGATGGCAACTTTCCTGCAGCAGAGGGAAGAAGAGTAAGTAAGGGAGTAAGCTGAGTCATTTGGGACTTAAAGGCTGAACTAAGTTCTTGGACTAAGCTCCAATTCCCCTAAAATGATGCAACAAAGCCTGTCAGAGAGGGAAGTGGGGACTCAGAAACCAAAAGAAGAGGAAGCAGTTCCTAAGTGGGCTAATACCCATTTGTGTCATTGCCAGATGACTTGTCCAAAGCTTGGTCAGTTTCCTAAGGAATTGATTGAACTTGCCCACTGACCCTTTGAAGTGAAGCAGAAGAATTTATCCAGTTTTGAGAAGGATTCAATTAGTGAATTGCTTAGCAAACCAAACATTTGATAATAAATTGGGAAATAGATCCACAGGTCTCTACCTGTCTTTCTCAGAAATGGCTGCCTCATTCACATTCCATTCTCTGTCTGCATTGAAAAGGCCACAGAATGGGATGTTTTATGAGGTAATAATTTTATCATTACTAAAGGTCACAGAATCAAAGGCTTTCAGAAAGGATCTTAAAGATCATCAAGTCTAACCATTCATCTGACACTCATATCCCCTCCACAACCACTATCAAGTGGTCAATCTTCCTATTCCTAAAAACCCAACCTATTTCATCTTTGATCAGCTGATAGCCATCTCCCTGCAACTTCTACCCTATAGTCCAAACAGAACAAATCGAGTGTCTCTTTCACAGGGTCCTTAAAGAAGTTGAAGAAATCCGTCATGTTCCTCCTAAGCTCGCTCTCTCTTCCAGGCTCAATATTGGCAATATTTTGAGCTTTTCCTCATATGACATGGCTTTGCGTTCCCTATTCACCTGATTTATCTCATTGTAACTCATTTGAGAAAGTTACAATTTATATTCTTCCTAATGTGTGGCAATCTGAAATGAAAACAATATGCTAGGTGTAGCAACTGCACGACACATCCCATCATCCCGTTAAAATCTCTATTCAAATGTCATTGCCTCTTCTGAGAGCCTTCCCTAACTACACTATCTAAAATCACCACTCACACCCATCACACTCCATTCCTTTATCCTGCTTTGTTGTGGAATTTATCACATTATACATTATCTGTGTGATTGTTTGCTTGCTTGTCTGTCTACCTCACTAGAATTAAACTTCATTCGCGTAGACTTTGGCTTAGTCACAATGTTCCTACCATCCATAACAGTGCCTGCTAAGAGTAGAAGACTGAGTCTAGTTGTACAAAATAGGACCTATGAGGGCATCCTTTTCTTCAGGAACTATGGTAGGGTCGGTTTCACTTAGAAGGGGCTGTGAGTATAACAATCACTGTGATAGATGTGTCTGGTCCATTCTACTACTTACCTGCTGGAACCCACACTCCTTTGTATACATGCCTGGGCATAGCAAATGAATACTTCTTTTGAATATGATCTTAGGCTCACAAAAGATTGTCACATTTGTCAAGCAGGAGAAGGAGGAGATGCAGCACAAATATTAAAGAGGCCTTCTAGATATTGGGCATTTCCATCTTCTTGGACTTATTTCAGATAGCCCCTTAAAATTACCATTGCCAGTCTTTGACAATCAGAGCCTTAACTCTGTCTATTGATACAATTTGGCTGGTACCAAATTTGTTCATGAATATGATCAGGTCCTGCATGTGATCTGGAAGGTTCACAAAGGGCCAGCTGTTGGAAGAAAGCTTTTCTTGCACCAAGGTTACAATAGTGCAATAGTGATAGTCTTGTATTTCCTTTTCTACCTTGAGCAGGGCAATCCTGGCCTGGTATTTGTCCCTCTGTCAGTGTATATTACTCACTACCATGAGAAACAACCGTTGAGTTTAGCTTCAAAGGGCACAAATTCTGAGCAACAACCAAGGAAATACTCATTCCAAATTCACCACATTTTATTATAAGGGTCTGTCTTGGGTAGTGCCATTCCCAGCATCAAATTTCTGTTACAATTAGATTCTTTTGTTTGTACTTTCACTTATTTAATTTCTTCTTGTTATATGTATTAGGCCCTCTCTCAAGTCTGCCAAGACGTTTTTTAGGTCTTGATTCCTAAATATCTCTTAAATTGATTTTCTTCACTTTCTCTGCTATTGATTTAGTTCAATTCTTCATCATCTCTCACCTTGGCTATTGTAGTAACAACAAAACTAATCTTTCTGAATTTTGTCTCTTCACAAATAATGTGCCTTTCTCCCAACCTCCAAAAAAGGTCTTTATAAAATGCAAATTTGATTATATCCTTTTATTTCCTGCCATTTACTCTCTTACATCTCCCTAAATGCACCTCACTTTCTCATGTCTCCATGCCTTTGCCCTTCCCTCTGATTGTAATATTTTCCTATTCTTTTGTCAGGGGTCACCTCCTCTGTAAAACCTTCCTGATTACTCCCTTTCCCCTAACAAAGATATTAACCTCTACTCCATTTTAGTTCTGTATCTTATATATTCTTTTATTATTCATATATCCTGGTATATTATAATTACTTTTATATATCTCATTTACTGATCTGTCTCTCCTATTAGACTCCGAGTTACTTCAAGATAGAAACTGTCCTGTAACCATCTTTATATTTTACTTCTTAGGTTAGTGTATGTTCAGCAATTGTTTATCGAATTGAATTTGAACTCCTTTAGTGTATAACAGAGTCCCAAATGTCTGGCTGCTGTGATAGTAAATGCTCTGTTCCTCTTCCCTTCTCTTGACATCCAAAAGCAGTAAGTGTAAAGTATAGCCCTTTATTCCTTTCCCATGTAGATATTCATTTCTTGTCCTTATTCCTTATTTCCTCATTTATCCTTTGCTACTTTATACTCAACTAGATAGCCAGAGGCTTAGTTTACCCTTTGTAAATTACAAACTAAATAGTTTTGGCCAAAGAGGAATAGTTTCTAATTAAGACCGTCTTTTCTCCATGCAATGAAGTTTCACGACCCCAGCTTGTACAACTCTGATTCTGAGTATTTCCCAGGGTCTCCCGATTCTGTTTTGTGAAGCATGTGGCAAAGAAGAAGAAAGAGATTGGCTCCTGAATACCATCCTCCATGGTAAGTTAGCTCCCTTCTTCTAGCTAACTCCTAATTCCTCAGGGTCCTTACTCAAGGTGCCAGGAAACTTCCCCGGGTGCCATTACCTTGAGCAGTAACTCCTTGGAAAAGTATTTTGGTGTGACTTGCTGGTGGATCAGGCAGGGAAGTGGGTTGTTGGTCATAATCAGTAAGGTCTTATCCTGATCATACTCTGTTACTTTTAACATGAAGCTTTTGATTTTCCTGTTTCGAGCCAGGAATTTCTGCAGTGCAGTGGGCTTCAAAGGCTCATAGTACTGGGCCTGAGCAGACAGAAGGGTTTCCAGACAGACAAAGGATTCAGATCAAGAGAAGAATAACAAATCAGTTGGCTAATCTTTTGCCTCTGTGGGGTAGGGCTGGACAGGGGCTGGACAAATCGGCTCTGAAATGTATTTAACAGAAAATGTCTGAAGCTCTCTCTCTGTCCCCTTCTTCCTTGAGAACATTCTGTGCACATAGACTAAGAGGGTGGAGAAGTGAGATGGAAAGGTTTCCACAATAAAAGGAGCAAGGTGACTTAATTCTTCTAAAACAGTGTAACTTAATGCCCAACATAATGGGGCAACCAGAGAGGTTTCTATGTTAAACCTAAATGGCCTTCTCCACAACTCTCTCTGAGGCAGAAGGGACAAGCTGTCAGGGACCAAATCTCCTTGCTCAGGGAGTTCTGAGGGTGGGGCAAGAGAGCCCTTATCCACATCTTCCCACTCACCAATGTTTCTCCACAGGCACAACCACATTAACATGCATAATAAGCACAACATTAAAAAGGCAAAGCCGGGGGCCAGCCCGGTGGCGCAAGTGGTTAAGTGCGCGTGCTCCGCTGCGGCGGCCCGGGGTTCGCCGGTTCAGATCCCGGGCGCGTACCGACGCACCACTTGTCGAGCCATGCTGTGGTGGCGTCCCATATAAAGTGGAGGAAGATGGACATGGATGTTAGCCCAGGACCAGTCTTCCTCAGCAAAAAGAGGAGGATTGGCAGATGTTAGCTCAGGGCTGATCTTCCTCACCAAAAAAAAAAAAGAAAAGGGAAAAGCCATCACAAAAGACAGCATGTCACTTAAGATGTGGGTGGGGGAAGTGGCAGTCCCACTAAATTTGCTTTTCTGTCAATAGGAGGAAGGCAGAGGATTGGAGACAGAGGAAGGAAGAGGGAGAGAATGAATTACTTCCTGATTATATATAAGTTTTCTCAACTTGAAAAAAAAAATCAGCTGCAGGGACGGCTGTGTTCCCAGTTCCTCCCTCCTCTCTCACCACCACCATTCCCAGCACTGCCTCTGGCATGGTGTCCCAGGACAGCTCTGCCTCCCAGTCCCATGAACACGCACAGTCACAGAAGCGGGCTGCACCTGGAGGCATTTAGGGTACTCTGCAGCAGACCGCTACCCCACTGCTGAAACTTGCTCTTAGGGATCTTGGCAGAACGCTTCTTCCACCTACCAAATTTGGATGGACTGTGTAATACCGAAGGTTCTTGAGAACAAATTTTGATTGCCAGCCTGCATCATTAATCTGGAGACAATAATCAAAATTAGTGGTTGCACCTCTCCTAAACAGTATTCCATTCCTTACCTCACCTTCGTCTGGCTAAAAACTGGTCTCTAATTTAAATTGTGAAGAGAACACTGTGCTTCGTGTTGTGCACCCTGGGTTTCTGGAATGCGGGCCACAGCAAGGAGAGCTAGGTTCTGAGACAACCTGACAGGGAAGCTGTACACAGAAATGTGGACCAGCTTTATGAAATGTCAGATCAAGCTGTTAGGAGGTAAAGTAGACAAGGGCAGCATCAAAATTCAGATGGGGCGATCACACCTCTTTCTTCTGTCTTTTCTGTTTCTATAGGAGTAAAATCAGGTGAAAATCAACATGGAGGACAACCTGTAAGGAGAAAAGCAGGTTACAAAAGGGCGAGAACCTACGGGCTGTGAGTGGAAGGGAGCCCTGGGGATAACTGCCAACTGAGCTGCAGGCGGACACACTCACAGAGGAAGGGGAAACCACGGTGCATTTTGCATTTTTGAATATTTCTGCAGTATGTATGTGATTCTTCCGAAATGTTGCAAAAATAATTGAATTTTGGTAACAATTCTGTCTACCACTTTGCATTTTTCTGCTGGTGGTAGTGCTGGTGATTGGTGGATTGTTTGAGTGTCATGTCTGGTGGTAGAGGAGCTGGGCCTCTTCCTTCTCCTTCTCCTGACCCCAGCGATGTTGCCTAGCCTCTAGCTTAGCCCTAGGTTATCATATGATGAATCAAAGGGATGAGAACACATGGAGACAAAAGCTCTGAGTTACCTCCTTTGGGCTTGGCATAATCAGAAATCAGAACAAGAGGAGGTGAGCACAACCTGTATTTGGATCAACATTTCTAAAGATTGCTATGCCCCCAAGGAGGTGATATGGCAAGATGGGGGGCAGAGGAAGGGCAACATGCACTGAAAAGGTGAGTAAAGCAAGAAGGTGAATGGAGAAGAGGGAAGTAGGAAGAGTGGGTCAGCACTGTGCAATGAGGGGAGGCGTGATTATGCTCCAGGAGGAAAATGCCAGGACTTGGCAATGCCTGGGGATTGGGGGAGGACCAGGAAGAGGACTAGCAGAGCCGCACCTTACATTCCTTTAGGAACGGTGGGATGAAATATGGGACAAATCCAAAGATGCACTGATTTAATTTTTATTACCTTTTGGAAAACTGAAGTCCTTTTGTTCAAAATAAGAATATAGTATGTGGGCTGGCCCCATGGCTTAGCGGTTAAGTGCCCGCGCTCCGCTGCTGGCGGCCCGGTTCGGATCCCGGGTGTGCACTGTCGCACCGTTTCTCCGGCCATGCTGAGGCCGCGTCCCACATACAGCAACTAGAAGGATGTGCAACTATGACGTACAACCATCTACTGGTGCTTTGGGGGAAAAAAAAAGGAGGAGGATTGGCAATAGATGTTAGCTCAGAGCCGGTCTTCCTCAGCAAAAAGAGGAGGATTAGCATGGATGTTAGCTCAGGGCTGATCTTCCTCACAAAAAAAATAAAAAAGAATATAGTATGAAAAACCTACTTCACAGATATGACATATATATTTAGAATCATAGAAGTCTCAGAAAAATTTATTTGGGAGAAAGATGCAAAGACTTTTCTTTTATGAGATTTTTTAAAAATTGATTTTAGGGGGGAATGTCTCTGGGGAAAATGTTTTTACTCTTGAATTTTTCTGAGGTATTGCATCTCGGTTCCAAATTAGTCTCCAGCAGTTGACTAAACTCACAAGAGTGTCCAAATTGGAATATGTTTTTAGTTTTGTGTTGGGTTGCACTATCTCTGGCTGATAAAATAAAAGTTGGCCTGGAAAATTCACTCGAATATGATAAACCTGGGGAAGTGACCAAGATACCTAATGGAGTTTTGCTGCAAGAGGTGGCCACAAAGTCTAGGTAAGTCAGGGTCTAACACTTACTCACACCCTAAGATAGGTTTCTGGTCCCTGGGTTTTAAGCCCTGATTTATTGCTGATGTGTCCCGTCTCTTCTCTTTTCTGTGTCTCTGTTTCCCTTGCATAAAATTAGATAAATTAACCTCGCTCTCTGCATAAATCTTGACCCATTTCTGCTTTACAACAGGAAGTTTGTGAGACTCAGCTTATAAAGTACTCTAAGGAACTCCAGAGAAAGATTACAAATGAACATTTGCTAATGCTCTTCCTTACCTCAGTACTATTAACAACGGTTCCTTTCTCAAGTTTAACTAGGCTAGTGCCTGAAGTCTTTGATTTGCCACAGTGAAACCTGAAAAAGAGGCAAAACATCCAGTTGTATTTTCTTACTCAGAGCCCTGGTCATCTGCATGTTCTCAATCTCTGCAACAAAGTTTGGGAGCCTGACTTAGAAGGGCTCAATTTAGGTGATCACTAATTGAATATGAATGGGTAATGAAGAATAGGATTCATTAACCAGCCTGCATGCTGGGGAAAAACAAAAACTCAGTTTGAAGAATCAAGCAAGTGGGACCTATTGGAGATGTGATGACATCTGTTGAGTTGATTTCTTCTAAAATAGGGGTTTTAGACCACTCAAGGAAGTGCTCTAGTAGACTGTTTAAGGAAATTCTTTTCTATAGCTGGACCCTCATTACACCCTTAAAGACCACCTACTGTTTTGAATGCCTACCTGCCTACTCTTTTCCACATGGGAATGGCTCTGTCTTCACCAATGATTAGCTGGTGATTCCATGAGAAAGAATATAGTTAGCGGAACTTCACAACTAAATGTCCAATTCTTAATGACCAGGCTTAGATTACTGGCTCCCTCATGTTCCTAACCACATCTAAGTTTCTCTTCCTAGAACTAGGGTAGTAAAAATAATCATCAATGGCAAATAGTTTCATACTATGCTCTTTCACTTACCCATTCCCCATTTTCCCATTCCTCACCCAGATACAGTTCCCATTGGAGAAAAGAGGGCAAGGGGCAGAAGCTGCAGTATTTAGTAATAAAGTATTTTGGATTCCGTGACTGATTCTTACTAAATCCATTTACTTCCTGAACAGAGTGAAAGATGCTCATAAGTAAGATAGGGTTAATGGTTAAAATAAGTGGCCTGGGGGCCGGCCCCGTGGCTTAGCCGTTAAGTGCACGCGCTCCGCTACTGGCGGCCCGGGTTCGGATCCCGGGCGCGCACCTACGCACCGCTTCTCTGGCCATGTTGAGGCCGCCTTCCACATACAGCAACTAGAAGGATGTGCAACTATGACATACAACTATCTACTGGGGCTTTGCGGGGGGGGAAAAAAAAAAAAAGGAGGAGGATTGGCAGTAGATGTTAGCTCAGAGCCGGTCTTCCTCAGCAAAAAGAGCAGGATTAGCATGATTGTTAGCTCAGGGCTGATCTTCCTCACAAAAAAAAAAAAATAATAATAAGTGGCCTGCTTCCTCTTTGGAAATAGTTCCATTTCGGGGTTAAACTAGCTCAAATTAAGTAGGATCCTGCAACTACCTCAACTAGACCTCTCTCCTTTAAAAATGAGGGTGGCAGAGTAAGGACCAAAATAAGAAACGAAGAAATAGCCAAGCTATGTAGTTGGTAGGTCAACTGGCTATAGCATGGCGCAAATAATACCAAATCCAGGATCAAATCCCATCCAAGGATGGATAGCTTCCATCTCAGGCCAGAGGTCTTAAAAATAGTTCCAAGGGGAGCAGGTGACACATTGTAGATAGACCACAATAAATTCATCCCCACTAAACTTCTTAAAGTTTATGCCCTCTTGATATGTCCTATTACCTTGAGTAATAATAATATATTATAATCTTTATTGTAGCACTTTTCAAAATGATTGTTTGGTATCTAAAAGGCAGCACAGGATCCCAGATACTCTTCCTCAGGCCAATTTAAGGCATAGAGCTGCATGAAAAATGCTTCTTCAGCCCAGCAGTGTCCATTTTGGACAGGCAGGTGCTTTCCTTTTGGCAAAGCTACTCTAGTTGCTACATGAAACACAGACCAAGATCTGGTTTTTGATCTGAAGACAGTCAGTCAATTAAAACGTTTTTGTTGTGAGGAAGATCAGCCCTGAGCTAACATCCCTGCCAATCCTCTTTTTTTTTTTGCTGAGGAAGACCGGCCCTGAGCTAACATCTATTGCCAATCCTCCTCCTTTTTTTTTTTTTTTCCCTTTTTCTCCTCAAGGCCCCAGTAGATAGTTGTATGTCATAGTTGCACATCCTTCTAGTTGCTGTATGTGGGATGCCGCCTCAGCATGGCCGGACAAGCAGTGCCTCGGTGCGTGCCCGGGATCCAAACCCGGGCCAACAGCAGCAGAGCGCACACACTCAACTGCTAAGCCACAGGGCCGGCCCCAATTAAAACATCTTTAATGAGGGTCTACTCTGTGATTAGTACTGTTCAAAGTGCTACGGGTTACAAAATAAGTTTGTATAAGATGGTATTTATAACTTAGTTGAGCAAACAAGACTACGCACTTGGTGTGTCTCCTTTGGCCCATTGCTGTTCACTGCTAAGTGGGCCAACCCAAGGCAAGTATTCACTCAGAGGCCAAACTCAGTGCCTCTAAATAGTCCACGTTCTGCAGGGGTTCAATTCAATCCAGACATTTTTTCCTTAGCACACACTGTGTGTCTAGCCCCGCTCTTGTTCCTGTATGGGAAACAAGAGAAGACCAATAGGTGCTGTTGTGAATGCAGAAAATGCACAAGACATGATGATCCTTCCCCTCAACAACTTAAGTTTAGTTGGTAAATGGGGGGAGGGAAGTGGAAGTGATGGTTAAATGTGAAACAATAATGACAAATACATGCTAATATATTAGGTAAGTCACTTCATCTCTTGGGGCCTCGATTTCCTCATCTGTAAACTTGGAGAGAGTTAACTAAATGATTTAAAGGTGACATTCTCATTCCATGGTAGTGGTGAGATTTACCAACTAAAGCCCTGAAAATTCACGTCAGTCGTGGGAGAAAGTTGGAGGAGTAGACATCCTCTAATTTACTTCCCCTCTCAATACAACCATGTTTGTACATAGATTAGGCCTGAGAAGCTGGGAAAAGAAGGTGTATATATTGGTGTGTGTGTCAGGGGGAGGCAGGGAGTTGCTACACTTTTTGATATAGACAATTAAAAATGGAAGATAAAAGTTGATGATGTAGTTGATGATGATGATATGTTTCCTAAAGACTGTGAAGCTTGAGCTGGGCCTTGCAGGATAGTGTGTGAAGTAGCCTAACTGGAAGGTTATTTCTTATTGTTTTTGTTGTTGTTGTTGTTGTTATTTTAAGTAGGAAGAAATAAGAGTGGATAGTAGGACTGGGTCAAGTTAAGGGGGCCTTGACAATTAAGTAGAATATTGATAAGGCCTATCAGCCCAAGCTCCTACAAACCCCGTGGATTTGCAGGAAAGATCTGTGTTAGTGTTAATAGTGTTGACAGGTGATTGTTTAGGGTTTATGTCTAGTTTGATTGTCCAGACATAAACCCTAAAGATGATTGTCTAGAGTTTATGACTAGACTGAGCTAAACTCTGTAAGTTCCCTTGAAAGGAAACAGACTAATGAGCTTTTCACCTTTTTCTTACCGTTAGTTTTTCTGGAATTGTGAGTCCAGTTCATGTATATATTGAAACTAAAATAAATAGGAGCCATCAGATTGGGAGGTACAAGACTTCTGCTGCTTGTCTGCAACCCAGGATGGAGAAAAAAATCACACAAACACAAAAACTACATTCAAAGTAAGAATGGGAAGATCTGGTATACAGTACCTTGAAGGATATCAGAAAATCTTAGTTCAGGGAGGAAGAAGAAATTCCTTGGCATGGAAACTTTCCATTTTGAAAATATCTTAATTATTCTTTTCTTGATTCTGGAGGAGACACACGGAATTTGTGATGAGTAGGCAATCTAGAATGCAGAGGTGTTCTGTGCTGAAACCAGAAAATGAAAAGCACAAAGACATACTTATACAAAATCTGCTACAGCCTGCTCCAATTTATTTTTCTAACCTATGACTTCCCTCCACACACAAACTGACCTTTTCACCATATCTTAATCAACCTCTACCTTAGCCAGTGTTTTCAGCCTATTCCTCAAACACAGTGAGCATTTCTCTCTTATTCCCCATACTTAAGACACTCTCCCTATCCTCTTCAAACCATTTGAATCTTCTTCTTTCTTTATGTTACTACTTAGGTCTTTCCTCTTCAGAGAAGACTTTTCAGACCAATCCAATCCCAAATTCTAGCCTATAGGCATTGTTTTTTGTTCAAGCATTTACATGGTATCTTGTAGCACTACCTGTACTTTTCTTTCTTTTTTTTTTGTGAGGAAGATCAGCCCTGAGCTAACATCCGTGCTAATCCTCCTCTTTTTGCTGAGGAAGACCGGCTCTGAGCTAACATCTATTGCCAATCCTCCTCCTTTTTTTTTCTTTTTCCCCCCAAAGCCCCAGTAGATAGTTGTATCCCATAGTTGCACATCCTTCTAGTTGCTGTATGTGGGACGCAGCCTCAGCAAGGCTGGAGAAGCGGTGCGTTGGTGCGCGCCCGGGATCTGAACCCAGGCCGCCAGTAGCGGAGCGCGCGCAGCCAACCACTAAGCCACGGGACTGGCCCTACCTGTACTTTTCTTAAATGCAGGTCTTGTTTGCCTCCTAGGCGGTAAGCTCCTTGAAAGTGGAAATGTGAATTTTATATATATTTGTTCCCCCTGTAGTGCTTTGTATAGTAAGCATTAAAAAGCAATATTTGTTTATTTCTGAACATTTATATATTTACTGAACATTTATGACATGTTAGGCACCATCCTAAGTAATGGGAGCCAAACATGAGTCAGATGTAGTCCTCAACCTCATGGAGCTCATAGTTTAGCCAGGAAGAGAAACAAGAAGAATTCAATGCAACAGCTTGCAATACCTATATTAGACATAAGTTCAGAATGCTGTCAGAGCAAAAAGGAAGAGAACTTAAGGGAGGGAAAAGATTTGGAACTAATACCTAACCTGAGCCTGGAAAGCTGAGTGTGAGTTAACCAGGTGAAGAGAAGAGAAAATGGGCATTTGAGAAATGGGGAGCAACATGAGCAAAAACATGAGAATAGAACAAAGCATGGATGCCTGGAACACGAGCTTTAACGGAAAGGTAGCAAGAGATGAGACTGAGAGTTAGCCAAGGTCCAAATCCTAGAGTTGAAGTCCCTGATAGAAGCTTATAGGTTACTCCATGAGTAATGAAGAGCTATTAGGGATTTTGAATAAGGAGATACATTGAGCAATACGTATTTAGAAATATGAAAATGGTGGCAGTGTTTTCTGCCACCTGTGGGAAAGATGCAGAGGTCTTTGAGAAGGCTATAGCAGTTCTTAGGAAGGGTTGAGAAATTATAAGGGTCTGTAGTCGTCACAAATTTGTGCCACTCACCCCTGTCTCTTAGCCCTGGATGACTTATTCAAAGATGGCCAACCAGATTCTCTCTACTAGGAATTTGAAAGTTTGATAAAGACACACAGAGATCGGGCCGGCCCCGTGGCTTAGCGGTTAAGTGCGCGCGCTCGCTATTGGCGGCCCGGGGTTCGGATCCCGGGCGCGCACCGACACACTGCTTCTCCGGCCATGCTGAGGCCGCATCCCACATACAGCAACTAGAAGGATGTGCAACTATGACATACAGCTATCTACTGGGGCTTTGGGGGAAGAAAAGGAGGAAGATTGGCAATAGATGTTAGCTCAGAGCCAGTCTTCCTCAGCAAAAAGAGGAGGATTAGCACGGATGTTAGCTCAGGGCTGATCTTCCTCACAAAAAAAACAAAACAAAACAAAAGACACACAGAGATGAAAGATGATTGTAGCTGAGTTACCTTATGCAGCATCCCAGAGAGAGACTAAACTCCACCCATGGAGGTCCCCAGAGCTGTCCCAGATCTAGTCCCCCCGAAGTATGGTTATTCAGTTTTCCCGTCAATTCTGTGGGCTTTCTCAATATCCTTTCGAATGAATCTTTTTTGCTTAAATTAGTCAGAGTTCATTTCTCTTGTTTGCAACCAAAAAACCTAAACTGACATAGGTTCTGAAGCAAGGTAGTGGCAATGAAGAGGGATAAAGGAAGGATATCTGACAGGTGTTAGGAAGGCACAATTAATAGACTAGTAACCACCTGGGTCCACGGGATAATGGATATAGTCACATTTTTAGCTTGGTTACCTGAGTGGATGGAGGTGCAATTTGCCAAATTAGAGGATATAGGAGATAGACCACATTTGGGGGATAAATGATGAATTTTGATTTTGGTCAGTTGAATATGATGTACAGATGGGGACATTGTCTAGGAAATGGTTTAAAACACGGGTCTGGAGCTCAAGAGAGAGGGGTTTAGGATAGAATTACAGATTTGGGGGTCAGCCTCAAGTATATGTTCTAGTTGAAGCCATCGGAGTAGATGAGACCAAGCAGGAGAAATGGTGGGCTGAAAAGAGGCTAAGACAGAGGGCAGAGCCCCGGACCATGCAAACACCAAAAGAAGAGCATCACAAGTGGCTGGCGTCAAGAACACTGAGAAGGTGTGGCTGGGGGTTGGAGGAGAACCGGGAGAAAGTAGCCACAGGTCACAGGAAGAAACGATAGCATGAAAAAGGCGAGGAGAGCCTCTACCTTAAAGCCTCTAAACTGCAACTTTTGAAGGTATAGAAAAAGATAAAAATCTCACAAAAATTACCGAAGCTTAATAAACAACCCAGTGCTACCAATTATAAGGGAGATAAATCTAGACTGAAAAATCTGACTAGTCTTGAATTCAACAGAGACATCTGAGAGAAGATAATGTGAATGCATCACACATTCCTCACTGATTGTCTTCTTTTCAGACATAGGGCCTACCTCAGCCAAAGTCAGGTTGATCATCCCTTTCTACTGCCTCTTGGGTGTTGATCCATGGTAGGACCTACAAATGGTTCTTCCTCATCCCTTCTCTCCACAACTTTGCACGTCCGGATGGTGACCTCACACCCCAGGTAACAGCTAGGCAGTAAGGATGGAGTGCAAGAGGTGGCACAGTGTATTTGGAAGATGTGACATTAGGAGCAAAGAGCAGTAAGTGAGGGTATAAGGCAGGAGAACTCTTTGTGGAACCGTTTTCTTCCTCTCCTCCTACTCTGACTGCTTATAAAATAGAAACTTCCACCCCTTTGAAAGTATTGGTATCCACCCTTCTTTCCTTCTGCAATGAAAAAGTAGTGGCATATAGTTCTGAGCAAGGGTCGCATTTTCAGCTCTCCGTTTCTCAAATAGCCTGCCAGCAGCATATGGTAAGTTATCTGGGGAGGCTCTTCCTTTGTCAAGGAGAGGCCTATTGTTTATCAGTGACTAAGGGCATGTATTAGGAAGCCAAATTTATATTCAGGCCCCAGCCATAGTCTCCAAACTAGCTTGTAGCAAAAGAACTGAACTTACTTGATTCTTGCATGTTTTTATTAATTGCTTCAGAACCTGTAGGGGGAGGAGTATGTTTGGTACTTCAAAGACTTCAACATCCTGGCTCAGTGAATGCTGCAACTGTAGTTTTAACATTCTATATTGGTTCAGATACCATAGAACCAGGAAATAGGGGTTTCAGAAAGTTGTCCTTACAAAAATGAAAGCCTGCTGGAAACTGGAGACTGGGCAGGCAGCTTTGCCTAGCAACCTGCCTTCCATCCGTGGGCAGAGTGGGACCGGGGTTAATAAATTCATTCATCTCATCTGTTGACCAACATCAAATCTGAACAGAACTAGCATTATTCAGAGATGAGTGAATGGAAATGGTTTTCAAAGCTAATGAATTTTATGAGGAGGAGAATGTTGCTGCCGTAATAGCCACTCTGACATAAATAGGGAGCTAATAAAGTCTGCCAGAAATGGAGAAATACAAAGAAGAGCAGGACATTGGGAATCTGGGAAATTCAAGGCCATGAAATTTGTTTGTATATCTGTCTATCAAAAATATGGGGATGTCTACTCCCGAGAGAGTGGAAACTGTCTCTCTACACAGAACTTCCGTTCAGTTTAGCACTGGAGTGTCAGGGATATGGGGACCAAAGGAGAAACAGAAAGGAAAAAAAAATGAGGTTTTTAAACATACAAGATAGACAGTAAGGGATAGAAAGTGGTCTCAGGAAAAACCTTGGGACTAGAGCTGCCCACCATGGCAAATTTCTAAAAGTTTCAAACATGGTAGGATGACATATGGAGGAGCAGAGGATATGCGCTCCTATTCATGGCATCTCCCAACCTCACAGATACGTTTCACTCTCTTGTCTCCCTAGAGCCTTTCTCCTAATCTAGCTTAGTGGAACCAAAGAACAAGGTCACAGAGTCTTAGCTTTTAAGACCAAGCATCAAAGACCCAATTGTAAGACAGAATGATTTAGGAAATAGATGTGATCAATTCAGATGCCTCTCTCCAAGAAAGAAGAATATTTGTAAATGTTACAGAATTCTACTCTGATATGGGAGACATAGTGTCATAGTTGAGTGCACCCACAAAAGGTAGACCTAGGAAACTAGCACCAATTTATTGGCATCTCAGCAAAGCTGAAACCAGGAAGCTTCCTCCCACCTTCTTACTTTTGTTATTTTCTTGCTCCTTCCAGTTCTTCCAAATAACACCAGACTTTGCATTGTGTAATAGCCAGCAACAGCGATATAGGATAATACATAATTGTACAAAGCTATATGTATCTTCCTATACATTGCATTTTCATACCAAGCCATATATTGAATTTCAATACTGGCAAAAGCTTTCAAACATCAATGTTCTTTTTTATTTATTTATTTTTTTGTGAGGAAGATCAGCCCTGAGCTAA